CCGCACGCGCGCGCGCACACACACACACACACACACACACACACACACACACACACACACACACACACACACATTATCTCTCTCTCTCGTCCGCCCCCGGCAGGGATCAGAGCAAAAATATGTGCCAGCTGCTCTGCCAGCACTCGATAGCGCTGGTGACACCGGCACTGCTTGAGGGCACAGGGAGAGACCAGGCTGGAGCAGCACCTCGAGGCGAGGCAGAGCTCATGGGTGGGGGCATGTCCTGGCTTCACTCCCCATGCCCATCACTGCCTGCCTGGGCCCCCGGGGGCAGGACACACCGCGCCTGCCATATATCGGGAAGAAAAGGCATGTGCTAATGCCCGCTTGCCCCTGGCAGCATCCATCTGTCTGTCTGCCCCTCCCTTGGCCGGTGCAGTAGGATCTCCTGGCCATGCCAGCCTGTGGTCCTTTGCCCTTTCTGCTTGAATTGAGCACTAGGCTTCCCCCATGAGGGGGAAACTGAGGCACACAGAGGGGATTGGGCCTGGCTCTGAGCCCTGTCCCATCCTAGCTTCTGTGTAACCCCTCGCCTTGTAGGAGTGGGCAGTGCCCGGCTGGCTGGCACACGCAAGAAGACTCCAGATGGCATCCTTCAGGCGCTAAGTGGAGGGGTGGAAAGGAGAAGGCAGGTGGGGTCCCAAGCTGGATCAGGTGAGGCAGGAGACAGGAGGCAGATCAGGGAGAGGAAGCGGAGAGGATGGAGCCTTCTTGCGTGTCAGCTTTGTGGTGTGCAAAGCCTTGTGGTGACAGGCAGGGCACGCGTGTGTCCAGGAGGACTTTTGGGCATGAAGGTTGGTGTGTTTGTGTGTGTGTGTATGAGAGAAAGAGTTGTGCATGTGCACAAGAGAGAAATAGTTGTGTGTAGTTGTGCATGTTAGTCGCAGATAAAAGCCATCCCGGAAGACAGCCATCCTCGACTGGGAGGGGGTGTTGACACACGTGCACACATCAGTTGTGTGCATGGCAGTGTGGAGTGCTGCATGTCACGCGCATGCGTGTCAGTTGTGTATGTCAGTGTATGTGGTGTTGCACACTTGCAAGCATGGGATGGTGGTTGTGTGTGCCTGTTGTAACAGCTGTGCACAGTTGTGTGCAAGCAGTAACTGCAGCCTGTGTGTGGTGGTGGGTCTGTAGATGGGCATGATTACACTGTGTGTGTGTGTGTGTGTGTGTGTGAGAGACACAGAGAGAGAGACCAACAGCTGTGTGAGCAGGGATTGTACTTGGGGAGGGGGTATCCTGTGTGCATGTGTGTGTATGCGTGTGCATGTGCTTCCCCCACTGGTCCAGATGGGCCGGGAATGGTAAGTGCATTGACCTGTTGTGTGGCCTTGAGGTTGTCCCCTCACAAGCCAGTGCTCTTGACTGCCACCAGTTGCCCCTGCCCCTGCCCCTGCCTGTGTGGCTGTTGCTTATGCTCAGTCCCCAGCGTCTCCACTCCAGGGCGGCTGAGTGCTGCTTCTTTATTGCTCTCCAGCCTCGGGGCTGGTTGGCTGGGCCTGTCACTTGGGCCCAATCCTCGTATCTCATCAGATGCTGCTGACGGGGTTTGACAGAAACGGGTCAGGCCTTTGCTGTGACCCTGGAGGGCTTCACCGGCATGTGGCAGCACCTTGGGAGGCCCGTCCTGGCCTTGCAGAACAGTGTATGGCCCCTTTGGATCATGCTTACACGCATGCATATGCATGCATACACACACTGTGTTGTCAGCATGCCCTAAAGAAATGAAGAACCAGATCTAAGCTAGTCCAGACACATTCACACGGGCATGCGCACGCGCACACCAGTACTGCTGGCAGCAGGCCCCAAGGGAGCTGCGCTCTGGACCTGGGCAGCTCCCTCGTTGCACTTGTGTAGCCCATGGGCACAAACCAGTTGCACTTAATCTGCTCATCCCCAGGCTCCTGTCCCCGTCCCCCTCCATGTCCCTGCCCCTCATTCCCCTGGTGACCTGGACACGGTGACACAAGGTCACAGCCGCCCCTGGTGCTGTCTTTGCAGAACAACTCATGGAGCGAGCTCTACTCCTTTGCGCTCTTCAAGTCCATGAGCCACATGCTGTGCATCGGCTACGGGAAGCAGGCGCCCGAGAGCATGACTGACATCTGGCTCACCATGCTCAGCATGATCGTGGGTGCCACCTGCTACGCCATGTTCATTGGCCATGCTACCGCCCTCATCCAGTCGCTGGACTCCTCGCGGCGCCAGTACCAGGAGAAGGTAGGGAGTGGGCACCCTCCCATGCCAGGGAGGGCAGCGGGTGCACAGGGGGTATCGCAGATGTCATCTCCTGGGCTCGATCTTGCCCAGGGCTGCTCAGTGCGGCTCCAAGCCTGATCCCAGGGGTCACGTGTCTGCAGGCACCGTCTTCTCCCCTTGGGGGCTTGCTTGCCTGGGCTCAGGGCCATTCCCTGGTGCTTTTGGCCTCCCCCCAGGCAGCCTCAGTTGGACACACATTTCCTTCCCGCGCCCTGCCGGTGCCTGGTGTTGGTGCTGCCCACCGCCAGCCTGGAGGGGATGCACTGCAGTGGCCACAGCAGCAAGTCCTTTGGGCTCACCGGGCACTGGTGACCTGATAGAGGCTGCATTGGGGCACGAGCCTGCCTGAGTAGAGGTGGGCCCCAGCACTGGGCCCTGGGCTTTGCTGGCTGGGGCCATGTTCAGCACTGCGGACAGTGGTGGGTGGGGTCCAGGACCAGGGACAGAAGTGGACCCTCCACCACCACCACCCCACCACCACCACCATTTCCCACGGCCGGCCAAGCAGAAGGCAGGTCCCCGGGCTGCGACACTGCAGGGAGAAGCCAAGCCTCCCCCCAACCCCTTCCACACCCCCAGAGTCCCGTGCCCGGCTGGGAGCCGGACTAGGCCCCTCCACCCACCCAGAGGTGGAACGAAGCCCTTCGTGGAGGATGGAGCAGGTGCCTTTCCACCCGGTTTCAATCCCCTGAGACCCATGGGGACCTGCTTTCCCAGCCTGCCTGGCTGGGAATGGACAGAGGCCACCCAAGATGGGCCACTGTGGGCTGCAGCAACAGGACGGGGAAGCTCTCGGTGTCTTTTGGCCCATGGAGCGGTTCCCAAGGGGGGAGCAATCCCCAGCAAGCCAGCTGCTGGCTCCAAAGGGATTGCAGCTTTGGAAGACAGCTGCATCCCAGCGGGGCTGGGCGACACGTGGGCTAGCTGGGCAACTGGGGGCAGGGGAGTCTGGGGCTGTTTTAGGGTTTGGCTTATAGTACAGGGAAATCCCCCTGTGCTAGGACAGCCTCATTCACCCACCCCGCTGCACCCAGCTGGGAGAGCTGGGGCCGTGTGCTGCAAGCTGCTGTCCCTTGCTGGGCTGGGCTGGGCTGGCAGCCGACAGCCTCCTCCTCTACGCCCCCCAGATGCTGCAAGGGGCTCTTGGTGCCCATCCAGATGTATCCCCACTGTCCAAGGCTTTAATTACCACCCCGCTGAGCAGATAAACGCCTGGGGACGTGCAGGCTTGAGCATCCCCAGCCTCAGAGCATGGCGGGACAGGAGGCTTGGAGCCATCAGGGCACCAGCTAATGCTTCCGTGACCCCAGCACTTGGCATCTGTGCCAGGCGGCTGTGGCTGCTCACTAGCCCGCGCCCCTGGGAGCCTGTCCCGGTGGAATGTGGCCGGCTCCACACGTGCCTCTCCGGGCAGCTCGGCCCTTTGAGCTCACATGGGGCAAGCGAGGACGTGGCTGCTTCTTGGGGGGCTGGCGCAGGAGGGGCCTGGCACCCCCTTCCCTCCCCTGAGCCGGGAGCAGAGCACCCCTTCCCTGTTCTGTGCAGCTCAGATGCTGGAGCTCTTCACGGGGCTTGCGCCCAAGGGAGGACTGCAGCAACCCAGGCATCCTGGCTCCTGATCCTGCGCTACAAGTCCAGGAGCGCTGGCTGCGGGTGCTGCCTTCTCTTTGTGCAGCCCCTGACACGTTCGCTGCCCCTTGGGGCCCTTCGCGCCTCCCCAGCCCCATCTGCTCCTGGCAGACCTGCGGCGCGGGGGCAGCAGGATTAGATGGGCCTGAGCAATCCCTGTACAGGCAACACCGTCATCTGGGGGAATTAGGTTGGATTAACCCAGCCAGGGCTTGAAGCAAGTGGCCTTGGGGGGCTGCACTAGGCGGGGGGGAGGGGTGCTTCAGTGAGCTATGGCATATGGGGGTTGCTGGGACCTCTCGGTGCACCGAGCTGGCCCTTCTGATCACGGCCGGTCTCTGTCCCCACAGTACAAGCAGGTGGAGCAGTACATGTCCTTCCACAAGCTGCCGGCCGACTTCCGCCAGAAGATCCACGACTACTACGAGCACCGCTACCAGGGCAAGATGTTCGACGAAGACAGCATCTTAGGCGAGCTCAACGAGCCTCTGCGAGAGGTAGGGCATCCTCCCCGGGACGCAGCGGGGAGCCACAGCATGGGCCATGTCCCTGCGCCGGGGGCTGCCCAGTCTGAGCCCAGAAGAGGGGGTGAGGGAAAGTTGGGCTCCAGGCCCCTCCATCTCCCTCCTGGCTCGTGGTTTCTTCCTCCGGTGCACGTGTCCCTCTCCACACCGATCTCTCCATGTCCTTCCTTCTGCCCCACAGGAGATTGTGAACTTCAACTGCCGCAAGCTGGTGGCCTCCATGCCTCTCTTCGCCAACGCTGACCCCAACTTCGTCACGGCCATGCTCACCAAGCTCAAGTTCGAGGTCTTCCAGCCGGGTGACTACATCATCCGCGAGGGCACCATCGGCAAGAAGATGTACTTCATCCAGCACGGCGTCGTCAGCGTCCTCACCAAGGGCAACAAGGAGATGAAGCTCTCGGACGGCTCCTACTTTGGGGGTGAGCGCGTTGGGGATGCCTGTCTCGCAGCCCACCGGGGTTCACAGGGTCCCCAGTGGGAGCTGGCTGGCCCCGGTGGGGAGAGCTTCTTGTGGGAGGGCTAATCAGGAGGGATCAGGACTCCTGGGTTTTATCCCCAGCTCTGGCAGAAGATTGTGGGATGGCCATTAGCACTGTTTCGGCAGCCCAGGGCTCATGGAGGGTGGGGGCTCCTGGTAGCAGGCGGGTCACAGCATCCCTGTGCCCTGGGCTGGGGGCACTGGGCTGTGCTGTTTCATTGCTGCCTCTGGCTCCCCCCGCAGAGATCTGCCTGCTGACGCGGGGCCGCCGCACAGCCAGTGTCCGTGCCGACACCTACTGCCGCCTCTACTCGCTCTCGGTGGACAACTTCAACGAGGTGCTGGAGGAGTATCCCATGATGCGGCGCGCCTTCGAGACCGTCGCCATCGACCGCCTGGACCGCATTGGTACGGGGCCTGCCTCCTGCAGGGAGCCCCCGGGCCTTGTGGCTCAGCCGTAGGGCGGGGAGGCAGCTCCTGGCCGTGGGGGAATTGGGTTGTGCTGGGGTCAATGCGTCCTGAGTAGGAGATGGGATGGGGCCGGGCTCTGCAGAGGGAAAGCCAAGGGTGTAGGAGTGGAGGGTGTGTGTGCACATGTGTGCTCAGGGACTGCATACACGTGTGTGTATGTATATGCTTAGTGCATGTGCACACCGTGTGCATGCATGTGCTCTGTGTGTGGGTGCATGCATGTGTTGAATGCTTAGCATATGTGTGTGTGTGTATGCTCAGTTCATGTGTGTACACATGCTGGTGTAAGCCACAGGCTTAGCTGGCATCACACGAGCAGGCTGGGGCCCTGCTGGCCAGGAAGGGGCTGGAAAGCAGTTGTAACTCCCAGGTGGGGGCTGAGGGGGCACCAATGGGCCATGCTGGGGCTTCTCCCACCCCTACACCCTGCCTCCTCCTCTTCCCCGCCACAGGCAAGAAGAACTCGATCCTGCTCCACAAAGTGCAGCATGACCTCAACTCGGGCGTCTTCAACAACCAGGAGAACGAGATCATCCAGGAGATTGTCAAGTACGACCGGGAGATGGTGCAGCAGGCAGAGCTGCAGCAGCAGACCGCCCTCTACACGCCCGTGCAGCCCCAGGTCACCTCCGCCATCGCCACCCTGCAGCAGGCCGTGGCCATGAGCTTCTGCCCGCAGATGGCCAGCCCCTTGGTGGGCTCCGTGGCCCTGGGCTCGCCCCGCATGATGCGGCGCCTGCAGTACGCCCAGGCCATGCCCGGCCCCTTCTCCATGTCGCCCGTGCTGCTGCAGCAGCAGAACCCGCAGCTGCCGCAGCCCAACCGGCAGCCGACGCCACCGCCCGCCTCAGCTGGCGCCTTCCCGGCGGCCGTGTCCAGCCCGCCCTCCCAAAGCCCCCTGGCCGGCCGGACGTTCCCGCATGGGGCCAAGGGCCAGTTGGGCTCCCAGCAGTCCCTGAGCCAGCAGAAAGCCCCCGGGTCGCCGCAGCGGCTGGCCGCCCACAAGAGCACACAGGCGCTGCCCACCAGCAGCCTGAGCCAGGAGACGCGGCCCCTCTCGGCCTCCCAGCCCTCGCTGCCCCACGGCGTCTCGCCCACCCTGACCCAGAGCCCGCCGCCGTCGGCCCACGAGTCCAGCACCTCCATCGCCGCTGGCCAGGCCTCGGCCTCGGCCTCGGCCTCGGCCTCCCCCAGCGCCGGCCCCCAAGCTGGGCTGCGGGGCACAGTGCCCACCCGTGCGGCGCTGTCCCACCCGCTGCCCACCAGCGCCACGTACGTGGGGGCAGCCGGCATCCCACAGGACTCGGGCAGTGCCCGGAAGGATTCGGTGGCCAGCGCCACTGACACGGACCCAGCCAAATCCCGGCTCTCGTCCAACTTGTGACCTTTGCTCCCTGCCAGCCGGGCCGGGGCATGGGGGGAGACTGCGTGAGCTGCCCCCGGCTCGCTCCTGGAAGACGAGGGGTCAACGGGCCTCGGTGCCCAGCCCCGATGGACACTGGAAGAGGCCGAAGGGGGGTCGAGGAGGGTAGGGGGGCACGGACGGAGCCCCCCACACCCCATCCCATGCCGGGCAGGGCAGCCTGGCCCCGCTCCATCTTCTCTGACCAAAGCGCGGCCCCCATCTCTCTCCTGCTGCTAGCGTGAAGAGCCTTGTCCCCGCGCCCCTCCTGACTGCACCATAGAAGCCATAGCTAATTAATCTCGCGACGATCCAATATGTATATTATATATATATATATATGTATCAAGGCCCCAGCGCGGGGGCGCAGCACATGTGTTGGGCACCAGTGTTGGGCACCCTGCGGCACAGAGAGACCCCCCTGCCCCAGCAGCAGGATGGGGGGGTAGAGGAGGGGTCTGGGCCCTTGCTGGCTCTGCCACACTTCCTGCCCACCCCCAGGGTCTGCCTCGCCCGTGTCCCGCAACCCATCAGAGGTGCCTGGCACGGGCTCGGGGCTGCCAGGCTGCTGCTCCATTTGTGTCAGTTTTCTGTGTTTTAAATGGGGAAGCAAATGAGGTGTCCCACTCCCTGGCCCCCCTCTGAGCCCCCCTCCCCCTCCTTCCCCAGCAGGGAGAGCAAGGGGCTGGGAGCCAGGATGCCTGGGGTCCCTTGCCTGGCCCTGCCTCTCACAGGCTGTGTGACTTCGGGTGAGTCTCTGTGCCTCGGTTTGCCCATCTGTGAAATGGGTATGATAATGCTGCAGTACTTCCCGGGGCAGGTACAAGCCTCGCTGGTGAGGGGAGCATGCTGGGGGCCATGTGAGGGATGAAGGTGAAGTCTGATACTATTCCTCTCCCCTTCCAAGGGGCTCGGCTGGCTGGAGCCGGCAGCCCAGCACACCCTGCAGGAACCCATGCCCAGGGGACCTGTGGTTGCAGGGAGTCCCTGGGTGCTGGGGGGGGGCCATGCAGGACATGCACCACTGTGTGCTCCTCTGTCCCTGGTGCCCTCCCAGCTGGAGGTGCGCGTGTACTGGGAGGGACCCTCACAAGGGGTGGGGAGGGCTCTGCCCCTTCCCCCGATCAGGCTGCAGCTCCCCCCACCCTCAGAGCTGCAATAATCAAGGCGGGGCCGAAGCCTGATCCTGCAAGTGAATGGGGTGAGGGGGGGGGGTGTCTGTGTGTGTGTATGGGGGGGATGTCCCCCATCTCGGTTTCCTAAGGGCTTCAAGGAACAGGAGGGAGCCTGGGAGCAGCAGGGGTGGGCAGTGGGCACCAGTTCCCACGCACGCCCGGGGCTGGGAGATGGCTGGAGGATCCAGGCAGTGGGGGAAAGGAGCAGGCAGCTGCCCCCCCCGCCCTGTGCTCCCCGGCTGTCTCTGTGCTCCGCGTGTCGCCGGCGGGGCCGTTCTGCATGTCCTTGTCCTGTGTCCGTCTGCATGTCCGGGGTGCCACAGCACCGCCTGGGTGGGGGGGGCTGGATTAGCCCAGAGGGGTGGGGCACATCTCACCCATCCTTCTTCCACCCTGGCCCTCTCCAGAGACTCCTTCCAGGGCCCCATTGTGGGAGCCCGGGCTCCCCAACGTGGGGCAAAGGTGCTGCCAAAGCAACTCCTAGGTCAGACCCCCTCAGCACCACGGGAGCCCAAGGTGGGGATGCTGCTCCTACCTGCAGAGCCCCGTTTCAGGCCAGGCCTGGAGTGTGAGGGCTTGGGCAGGGCAGGGCAGGCCGGGGGGGTGGTCTCCAGCGGGGCAGGAGCTGAGGACTGGGGCAGGGGCAGCTCCTTTCGGGCTTGCTTTGGGTTTGGGGCAGGGTGTTCTCCGCAGCCGCCGCCACTTTGCAGGCCGAGACAGGGGGAAGAGTTGGCGTGCCAGGTGCTGTGATGGGTCTTCGAGTCCTTCGAAGATGCCAGCGTCTCCCTGCCTCTTTCCCCAGCCCTGGGCAGGGCCATGAGCCCCTGGCGAGCAGGGTGGCATGACATCCGCCGGGGTGGTTCGAGAGCCAAGAGCCCTGGCACGAGCAGGGGGAGTCCTGGGGGGGGGTTGCCCACCCCCCAATTCCCCTCCTCATCCTCTGTCTCCCGCGTCCAGCCGGACCCTTCCCCTACCCTGAGGCCAGGGGTGGGGGGCAGGCAGTGTGTGTGTGTGTGTATCTGTGTCCGAGCCACGCAGCTGCCCCGCTCTGCCCCTCGCGCCGTCCATGTTGAATGTATAACTTGTCCCCGAGCTCCGCGTGCCAGCCGGGCGTGGGCACCCAGAGCCGGCTGCGCCCCGCACGGGGCACCCACCGCGTCAGCCAGCCCATCCTGTGCAATAAACACGTCAGCGTCTGGCAGAGCTACGCCCGGCTCCGGCTCTGTTTGCTGCTCACGGTACCCCCCACCTCCCCAGGCCTCTCAGGGCCTGGGCGCTGCCAGGGGTCAGCTAGCACGGTGCCCCTAGCCTGGGCAATGTGGACCCCTCCCAGCAGCCGGCTGGAGCCACTGCTCTGTGGCTCTGGTGGCCTCCATCAGGGCCTGGGGCCAGGCTGGGGGAGCAGAGACCCCCCCCCCAGCACAGGCCCCGGGGGTGGGAACGATGGGGGAAGCTGGACACCCCCCTCCCCTTGCACTCATGGAGAGGTGCTCTGCAAGCTGGTAGGAGCCACAGGATTGCATCTCTGCCCTGGACAAAGAAGGGGCCTGATTTGTGGTGCCCGATCCTGGCACCTGCCACCTCCTGCCATGGGAGGGTGGGGTCAGCTCCGGGAAGGGCCGATGCCTGGAGCCTCCAGCCCTTCCCCTGCTGCCTTCAATAACCCCCAGCCCCAAAGTGCCACGGGAGGGAGGCTGGCCGGGGGCTGCCGGAGAGCCGAGCCAGGCCCCCAGTGGCTGAACCTACAGCCACGGGGCAGGAGCCTGGGGTTGCAGACTTGCAGCGGTGGCTCCCCCCGCCCCGCTGAGCCGCTTCTCGATGGAAGCAGAAATAATAAATCACAGCACAAATAAGCCGCTGTAATCCCGGCAGCCGGGCTGCTGATTAACACGGCTGTTAGGCCTAATCCTGTCCCCTGCTAATTGCCCCCCCCCAACTCTGCCAAAAGGGGGGGGGGGGGGGGGGG